CCTTCCTTCCTTCCTTCCTTCCTTCCTTCCTTCCTTCCTTCCTTCCTTCCTTCCTTCCTTTCTTTCTCCCTTTATTTCTTTCTCTCTCTCTTTTTTTTTTTTTGGTCCTGAGGGAGAAACTGAGTCTCATACTTACTACATAAGTCCTCAGCACTCAACTATAGCCCAGCGCTTCTTTGAGACTAAATTACTCAGGCTGGCTTTGAACTCACTTTGCAGCCTAGGCAAGCATTAAAAATCTCTATCCTTCTGCCTTAGCCTTCCAAATAACTGAGATAGTAGTCTTGAGCTACCAGACCTGGCCAACACTTGATATATTTCTAACAAACTAGACATGTTCTATCATGTTTGTGCTTTTAAAAGGTCCATTATTTTGTGATTTTTAAAAAATTTTTATTTTACGTGCTCTCACTAGACTGTGTGTGTGTGTGTGTGTGTGTGTGTGTGTGTGTGTGTGTGTGTGTTTTGCAGGTGAGGGGATGACATTCCCACAGAGTGTGGAGGATGGACAACAACTGTGAAGAGTCTCTTCTCTCTTTCCACCATGTGGGTTTCATGGATCAAGTCAGGCAGCCAGGCTTGGTGGTAAGTGCCTCTACCCACTGAACCATCTCACCTGCCTCTGTTCATTTTTTTTTTAAAGCACTTGTTCTAATGATTAAAAAGAAAGTGGAATCTAGTTCCTACTGTTACTCCTGTCTTCTCACTTGGTATATGCTGATCTTTGTACATAAAACGAAAGATAAAGAGTAAATAGTACACCAGGACACTAAACATAACTAAACTTGATGCACAGGACTGTTTGCTACATTTCCTGTTTACATTACAAAGAGACAAGAATGAAGGAATGGATACTCAGAATTTCAACTCAAAACAACAAAAGGGATTATGAAAATAGGTTAAAAAAATTACATCAATAACATTTAAGAACATAAATGAAGTACAAATGAAAAGCAAACAAAAAATGCAAATGAACAGGAAACTGTATCATGATGTCTAATTCCCTTTCAGTCTGCTCCAAAGTAAGAGAAGGAATATTAACACAGAGGATTAAACTTTTGTTGAACAGAAATGTATAAATGAAAATGTAATCTAAAAAGGATTACCAGTAGGATCAAACACCACTACCATGACTAAGAATTTGGCATATGAGACCAAATGGCTAATTTCACTTCCAAAGTCAGCACACACACAGACTATACTCCTGCCTCAATGGCATTCCAGTCAGACAGGTCCACTTTCAATGCCTGGACCATTAAAAGCCATCACATATTTCTTCCTGTAGTCCTCTCTGCATTTATCCTCCACCCCAAGCTTTGATTTCACATCCTTAGGTCTTACTGAAAGTGCTACTTTCACAACAGGTCCTCCCAACATTATACAACTGGAGTGGCACACACAATTCTTTCGCTGTGGCTGTAATTTGCATTTCTGTGCTTATTGCTTAGTGCCTTCATCACTCGTCAGACTCTAAGACTGTGGGTCAGGAACCATATCTGGTTTTGCTCACCTATCTGCAGAGGTGTGGCTTACAGTACATACACTCAATAAATATCTGTCGAGTGAATGTCTGTATATGTTAGAACCCAGGAATGTGACCCATCCTTTATCTTTACATAGAAGAAGAAAACTTTTCAGAAAAAATGGGTCGTACCAGGGGCAGAAAAGCAAGCCATCTAACTTTTCACTAGTTTGACTTTTCAAATGTAAACTTATGATGGATATTGACTCCATAGAAAACTTAGAGGTTGCGCATGTTTTTCAGGACTTGCCATGTTAAGTAGACACTGTACTGCTAAGCAAAAACTACTAGTTTTTAAAAACATATATTCACAGGCATACCATCATAAAATAATGCTGGATTGCGCATTAGAGGTGAGAATCCCTTCTGTCAATGGCAAAGGCTTTTCTAAACACAGAAGCATTGAAGGCATTATTGTACACTTCCATTTTTAGCAGTCTATGGCAAAGCAGAAGTATTGGCTCTGTGATACATGGATGCATTCACTAGATAGTTCTTTGTCATGTGATCAGAATATAGCCGTTAGCCCAATGCTGTATAAACGTTCTCCTCGGAAGCTTTTAAACTAGAATTTCGTGACTAACTCTGTATTGAATGTCCTTATACTTTGACCTAGCAGACTGAAGGAGAACAGGGATGAGAGGGGAGAAGATGTAAAAGACACATTAGCAGAAAACGATGTGAAGTTACATCAGTAAGAGAAACTAATTTGTCAACATAAAGAAAATCAGCATAATTATGGTGATACTTACAGAAAGCATGTCAGTTTAGGTACTTGAGAAAGGTCACAGAATAACCATCTTTTGCCCCTTTTAGCCCAGAAGACTAACATATATTTTACATTTCATCCCAAGTTATGATGATGGTTCATAACATCCCAACATGCTGTAAGAGAATAGCTAAAGGGACAAGCTCTTTTACTCTTGATACAAAGATTCACCAGAGGCAGCCATGGCCAAGAAACAAACCTATAAATGAAATTCAAAGGAAACAAGCAAATTTTTACGAGTTATATTTATAATTATGTGCCAATAGGGAAATCTAACACCGTGCATTATAAAAACAGGAAAGGAGTTAGAACTCTTAACACGTCCTGTCACCACTGCTCTTTGGGACAAATGTGGCTGAGGGTGAAACTGGAGCTACTCTTCACTTTAATGACTGCTATGACTTCACCTTCTCCCAGTATCTTTTTTGGCTGGTGACAGGATTTGAATCCAGGGAAATCACCACTGAGTTCTGCCCAGTTCATCACCAACACCTCAGCCCCCTTCTTGTAAGGCAGTGTTAGTTCTAGAACCCAGAAATCCAAACAAATGAAAACATCAACTCCTGAGCCTATAGCTCCACAAATATTCTATATGAAAATCAGTGCAGAGTTAACTGCATTATATTTATTCTTATACATAATATAACAAAAGGAATAAAACTAGAAAAAAGTACACATCTTCCTTAACACAGTGAGTGTCTACATTAAAATGGAAGGATTCTGATTCACTCTTTCAGAAAACCAACTTAAGATACAAATACTCCTAAGCAGAAGTCTTTTTTCTTTTTCTTTTTTCTTTTGGAGACAGGGTCTCACTATGTAGCCCTGGCTCTCCTGGAACTCACTATGTATATCAGGTTGACCTTGAACTCACAAAGATCTGCCTGCCTCTGCCATGTATCACTATGCCTGGTTCCTAAGCAGAAGTCTTAATGGCTACATTTGTTTTGCTAGTATAGATAACAGAATATAAAAGATGAAGGGAAAGAAAGGATTTTGTTGTTGTTGTTGTTGTTTGTATTTTCGACACAAGAGTTTCTCTGTGTAGCTTTTAGAGCCTGTCCTGGAACTTGCTCTGTAGACCAGGCTGGTCTTGAACTCACAGAGATTCACCTGCCTCTGCCTCCTGAGTGCTGGGATTAAGGGTGTGTGTGCCACCACCGCCTGGTAAGAAAGGGTTTTTTTTAAGGTTTTCCTAAGTCATTAGTTGCTTGTCCTAAGTTAGTGACAGAGATGCCCAGGACTCAAGGTTCCTCCTGATAACTGTGTCAAAATTCTCTTCACCAGGCCACGTAAGATGAAGCTGCCTGCTCCTCACAGTGTGATGCTGCAGAGCACGGCAAACAGATACATGACTAAGCTAATGATCAAGATCTGTTTTACTGCCAACCTTCTTAGACTAGAACGAAAATGTACTGAGGGATACAGATATCCAGAAGATAAATAAAGCACTCTCTGTACATACTGTTCTCATTTTAATATAAATTGGCTTCTCTAAAATCCTAACAATGGCAACACACCATAAGCAAACAATACTCATGACTATATAATCTCATCACATTGGTTTATGGAGAATCTGTTTTGTAAAATTCAGACTGCCATATTAATTTAGGTTTCATTTCTATCTAAAAGTTTTTCTTTCTGCTCTTACCATTATCTTCTACAATAAGTTATGAGTTCCCACTAGGGGTCCAAATCATATGACAACTAAGTCTTAACCCTGTCTCTATTGTCTCAGAAGATGAGTAACTAGTGCTTACCCACTGAACAGTGGTTGATTAATGCATCATTACACCTTAGTCTTTTGGTTTCTGGTTGGTTTGTTTTTTTCCAGACAGGGTTTCTTTGTGTAGCTTTGGCTGTCCTAGAACTAGCTCTGTAGACCAGGCCAGCCTCTGCCTCCTGAGTGCTGGGATTAAAGGTGTGTACCACTACTGCCTGGCTTTGTTTCTGTTTTTTTGAGACAGGGTCTCACGTGTCCAGAGTTAGCTTCAAACTCTCTATGTAGCCAAGTATAACCCTGAACTCTAATCTTGCTGTCCCACCCCCAAGTGCTGGCATTGCAGGCGTGTACTATCATACCCAGCTTAAAGCAATGAGCATTCTACTATCAAACCTAAAACTACTTCTTGATGAAGAAACGATGTGGACAACAGAAACATCAGTAACCTATGCATCTCTGACAGAGGGTATATACACCAAGAGCAGGAGGCAATGACTCAGCTTGGGACTTCGAGGTCAAACAGTTTCATGTACTACAAAAAATAGTGATGATGGTGACAACAGATAACTTTCTGAGATTCATGATTATAAACCCTACAAGTTACTTCTGGCAGAAGCTCCAGACCTGCAGATAGGTTCAGAAATGAGATACAGCAAGACAGCCATTGTTGACAAAGAGAGCTTGGCACTCCTGACTCGTATAGGACTAAGTCCGCTGCAGTCCTCTTATTTCTGAGGTGCCACCACGGATTCTTTAGGCTAACCTCAGGCTTTCTTTGCTCCTGCTCATTTTATCCCCGTATGTTTCACTAACCACATTTCTTCAGAGATGAAGCATCTAGACCACAGGACCACTTGTTGAACCCATTACATCAGAATCTTAACTAATTACTGGGCAATTTAGGTCAAGCAGTTCTCCAGGTAGTCTTCAGAAGATGCTGTATAGTGTACTAAGTAGACTGTGCCCTACAGACAATGCCTGTGCTTAGTTTCTAGCCACACTGGCTTTCGTAGACCTCTAAGCACTGGAAGACTCAGAAGGACTGTTCATGAAATAAGTAGCTAAAGCAAGATTACCCAAAATTGCACAAAGAGGCGTTTAGAACAAGAGCTGGTCCCTTTTTGCCTTTCTCACAATAACCTCACCAACCTTCCTACTAAAATGAACCAAGGGGATCGGTCGTAAAATGGGTCATGCCCATCACTGAAGAGATCTGATCCCTCTTCCGTCCCTGCGTCAGAGCCGGTGTCATCCACGAATGCCTCATCATCAAAATCCTCCATGTCATCCTGCTGTTCGTCAGCCAGTTCAGTGATGTCGGAATCGGCCGTGGAAAAAGTGGGGGAGGGTGTGCGGTCGGCAAGGCGCTCATTCACACAGCCGTGGAAAATGGGGGAGCTAGACACCAGGTAAGACGCCAATTAACACAGGCAGGGAGAGAGGAATAGTTGGTTAAACAGGACGCTCAGGTGCCAACAGGACAGAATGCACTGACAGAATCAACATGGTAAAAGCAAATAGAAGAGCAAAAGGGAAAACCGAGCATAAACTGCACGGCTCAGGTAAAGGGAACAGGGCAGGTTGAAAAGATCTATCAGGACAGAGCCTCAGAATAAGAAAAGCAAAGAGCATCCATGAGTAGACCATCTCAGGTAAATATTAGATTACAAAATGTTGATGTTCTCCAGTTTACACAAAAGATCAGCATCCTGTCCTCCAAGAGCCACTCATAAAAAAAAAAAAAAAAAAAAGAGAGAAAGGGGGGGGGGAGGGAATAATGAAGCTTTAAGTGAATTCTCTTGTCAACTCAGAGCAGAAAACCAGATGGATGGAACCGTGTATACCAAAGCAGCACATGCTGGAGTGAGACATGTTTGTTTGCCAATGCACCTCTGCACAGCCTAGTCTACTGTCAGGAGTGGAGTGGAAAAGGTTGACTTTAATCAAATACTATACTTCAGGAACTCTGTTCGGTCAGTTCCTTTACATACCATCACAGGGCATTGAAGAGGAACTCAAACTCTGACACTAATAAGCTCAGGATTCACTGGGGCTGGAGAGCTGGCTCAGTGCTTAAGAGCACCAGCTGCTCGTGCAGAGGACCAGGATTTGGTTCCCAGCACTCACACGGTAGCTCACAACCATCTGTAAGTCCAGTTCCAGGGGATCCAATGCTCTCTTTTGTCCGTGATGGGCATCAGACATGCATATGGTACATAGGCATACATTTAGGCAAAATACCCACACACATGAAAATAAAATCTTTTTTAAAATTTTTACAATTCCCTGCTTTTACATTTCTAAACCTCTTGCGAACTAAGCTCCAAACTCACGAAGGCACTTTTATTTTCATAAAATGTTGAGAGTGATGTACTCATAAAAGAAACTGAGGAGTCCTACCATGGTGTACAATTAACTTGCCCTGGGTAATGACTAAAGCAAGACAAACTTCTTAAAAAAAGAAAAGAAAAAGGACCAATCAGATTATGGAGTAACCACGGTCTTATAATATACACTGTGATTTCTATTTAAACTGTACAGGACTCATGTACGTTGTCTTTTTCTTCTCTGTCTACCTTGATCAACTATGAACCATTTTGTAAGTTGACAGTCCAAAATGACTGTCAAATACTTTGGTTAAAAGTCTGACAAAGCAATATGCATACTATGTGAAACTGAAGTAAACATATTAAATGATACAATGTTCTGAGTGAATAAGATTAGAGAGGCAGTGGTTTTTTATTTGTTGTTTTTCTTCTAGTGCTGGGAATTGAACCTGGGATATCCTAGGTTGAGCTACAACACCCGTCTGAGAAGGAGCTTTTATGTAATCGTCGTCTCCCCCCATATTCTCTACCAACATTTAAAAAAAATTGAAGTACTTGATATTATTTTCGAAAGACAATGAAGTCATTACATACCTTCCCACAAGTTTGAACCAGTGGAACCGATCGTAGAATGGATCACTGCCCGTCATGGTCGTTTCGCTTTCGTCTTGGGCACTGGAGGCCATCTCACCTGCCCTGTCGTACATCTCCCGCATTAAATCCAGTCTCTGCCTATTTAGCAAATACGGAGCACACTGAGTTAAGATCATGAGACTGCATTAAAACTTTGCTTTGGAAACTTCTTGCATGCAAGACATTTTTAAGAAGCCATTCCTATCATCTAATGCTATTAAAAACTGGCACTTCCAAAAGACCAGAAACCAAAACGTGCGACTAGAGAGAGATGCCACCAAAGTAAAAAAAATGGCCTATATAGTCAGATCTTTTCAGAAG